ATGCAAGTATTAGTTGAATTTTGTTTACGACACTTTCAGTTCTTTGGCTTTGGTTCTTTCAGTTCACGTTTTCGCACAAACAATTAAGCAAAGCATAGCAATTTAAATGTACAAAAGAATAACAATGAAGGGAGAGCAAAGGTGTATAATTTCGATGTAGCCGTTTTTAATTCGAATATGCGCATAGTTCGCTTTCATTTCTTTATGAGGATCTGTGATCTTTGCTGCATAAACTAAGAAACACAAAAAAATATACAAAAATTAAAGCTTTTAAGTGTAAGCGTATAATTCTTAAAGGAAAACAAATTAATGTGCAATTTTCTTTTTATGCCATTTGGGTTTGAGTTTTCATTTTCTTTTTCTTTTTGTTTATGTTTCGTTTCGTTGCGTTTCGTTATTTTCCAACAACTTAAATAAATGTACCTAGAATAAGTTTCAGAGTTACAAAGAAACAGGAAGAAGAAGGAGTTCATTTGATGCGCATATTAATTAAGTCAAAGTGTGACGGTATATATATATATATCTACATATATATATATATATATATATAATTCTAGTCTTATACTTTATTTGAACAATGTCATGTATTTTTAAGAATTTTTAAACTTAATGTTCAAAGCGAGGCAAACTCTAAACAGTTGAATGCAATACAAACTAGCGTCTTTGCATGCCCAACTTCCAGTCGTCGTTTAAATCAACTAACTATCCATTGAAGAAGATAAATCCGAACTACAATACCCCATATAAGACATATAAGTATACTCTATAGCTATAGCCAACCTCCTCTACCATGCTTACCAAACGAAAAACAAAATACATAACTATTAAAAACAATACCACAAATATATATAAATATATATATATATTTATGTATATATATATATATACATACTATATATATAATCAAAACAAAAACAAAATACCGCTCTAAAAGAATGCAAAATAGACGAAGAAAAAACAACAATAAACAAAACAAAAAACAGCTAACCAAAAACAATAACTGCAATAAAACTCAATAAACAAATATTTTTATATAAATGCAAAAGAAAAAAGGAAAAACTTATACCAAAAAAAAGAGAAGAAGGAAAAGAAATGGATAAAGTATATGATGAATGAAAGGCATAAAACAATAACCGAAATAAAGTGCAAACACTTCGTGCAAGTGAAAAAGTAATTAACTGTTCAAATACATAGCATTTTTTGAGATTAACGAGATTAATGTAAAGATCTAAACAATACCAATATACGTTTTATCATATGATGTATCAGCATATTTACATATAGTTATACGGATTGCTTCAAACGAATATACATTGAAAAGCAAAAAGTAAAAAACAAAAACAAAAGATTATCTAATACCAAATAGTCGTAATGCTTTCGTTTAACATTTCCTTCATTTTCCCATATTTTATAAATATTTCTTTTAAATATCACACAAATGCGTTTTGAGCAACAAGTTTTTTTTTTATTGTAATTTATATGTAACTCTTAGAGATTTTATAAGGACAACTCTGAAATCTATATATGTGATAAAAGAGTGTGCAAAAAATCTTTTAAAACTAATTTGAAGAACCAAACTATCGATCAAATAAGTGTTAAGCATTAAGATCTAAATAATTTCGACACCTTTTGCTTATGTAGCTCTGAGCATTTTGATAGTGACAAGTTTCCAGAAGAGACTAAAAGCGAGAGACGGAAAGAGAAGACAGACGCAAAAAGTATTTTAAATTGTATTCACTTTCTGTTTAAAATATAAGACTATTGCCAATGGAGCTCTCTTATATATTAGTCACATGGTTTCCTTATGGAATCCAATTATATATTCTCTTCCTCTCTCTCGTTCTCTTTAGTACTCTTTAGTAGTACTAACACTCCGTTGCTCTTATAAAAAGTTTGCTTAAAGCTTTTCAAATATGAATTGCCAACTTATAAAAACTCTTATAAAACTTGTTGCTCATCTCAGCATTTGCACATAAATCCCAGTATTTTGTTTAGCTTTTATTTTGTTTGGTTTTCTTATGCATATCCCATTGAATGTAGATTCATACTTTGCGTAGTTATCAATGTTCTAACTATATAACGTATATATATACATATATATATATATACATATATATATATATACATATATATATATATATATATATATATATATATATATATATATATATATATATTTAAAATAATGTGTACGTGATTGAAGAATGCAGCAGCTTAAAGTATATGCAAAGCAAATGGGAAATTCTTCGCAGGAATTTTCTGTTTTCGCGGCTTTGTGCGTTGCTTTGGGAGAATTCAAATACTTGCAGTAAAGTACAAATACTAACTATAAATACAAAAAACGGAAACACAAAACCAGATGAAGAAGAAGCAGCAGCCACACAAACGGCAATTAAGCCAACAACAAGTATTAGCCAAAAGTTACATATAACAAATAGCCAGAGCAATATGCAAAAAAAACAAAACAAACAAAAAACAAGCTTAAGTACAGTTAATACTTTGTAGTATATATATAAATATATATATATATATACATAGCACATTTTGGCTACCACTTACGTTTTCCCCACAACAAATATAAAGAGAAACAAACAAAAGTGTGTCAAGAACTAAAGAAGATCACGTCGCAGAGCCCATCAAGAAATAAGCAACCTTCAAAGCCCACGCAGAACTTATCTAATTCGCAATTGTTTTTGTTCCGTTTAGCATACTCTTGTAAATCACTCACATAAGAAGTTATAAAACAATAAGTTTATAAACGAAAAAAATTGCAATAAATGACAAACAAAGGAAATTAAATCACTCAGGGATGAAGCCTCCAAACAAACAAAAAAAAAACTTAAACTAAATACAAAAAATATAAAGTAAAAATGCAATATTTTAAATAAAACTAAATACGAAAAAAAATGCAAACTAAATTTATAAATAAATGCAAAAAAGGTACATTTTAAAGTTAAAAATATTTTAGTATAAAGCAAAACAAAAAGAAAAAATTAAAAAAAAAAAACAAAAGAAATCTAAAAGATCATTAGACATTTGCACAAATTTTTGGCATTTTATAAAGAATACAAAAATGAGCATAAAACAGCATAGTAAACTTAAACAAAAGCGAAACTGATAAACAAAAAATACAACATATTTTTCCAACTATTAAAAGTTAAAAAAAAGAAAAGAAATCGAAATTGGTTTAGCGAAGGTATAACAGTCAGCAAAAAAGAAAATGAAATAAATTAAATTATTTAATAAAAAAAAATTTAAAAAAATGAAATAAGAAAGTATATATAAAACACAGTCCGTGCAACTCTTAGTGAATTTAAATGAAATGTATTACAATTTACATATTTACAAACTAACGGAACGGAACGGAAACTGAAACTGAAACTGAAACCGAAACGGAAACGGAAGCGAAAGCGGCCAAAGATGAGGTTAGAATTGTAGTTAGAAGTACAGTGAAGCCGATGCACATTATTCAAATCAGGCAGACAGGCAGTTTATATTATGTAAACATTTTTATATACCCTAACTAAAAAAACACAAAAAGAAAACTAAAAAAAAAACTATGAGAAAGTAATGTATGTCTGCATTGTACTGTATTTATGTTTAGTGTCAGCAGCAACTATATTGAAAAAGATAAAGAAAAAGGAAATGAAAATGAAAACAAAAGAAAATAATAATGATGATGATGATGAAGAGGAAAACATAAGTTGAAAAAGCTTAATACATTTTAAGGTTAGGTTTTCTGCGAAAGGACTGAAGTTAAGGCAACGTAGCGTTTAAAACAAAATTGCGAGTGTTATGGACAAGGATGTGGACGACAACAAATTAAATAACAAAACAAAAAAAAAAAAAAAAAAAAACAAAATAAGAAAACTAAAAAGGAACGCACGCGGAGACGAAATTGGTTTAAGGTTAGGCATACTTTCGAGCTAAAAAAAAAACAAAAGAAAACTTAATGAAAAATAGAGAGATTAACAAGTTACCAGCAACAGCTACACTATTTTTATAATTAATTACTTCTTTGTTTTAACCATTTTAATTCAAATACAATTTTTCGACTCGTTTAAGACAAATTTACTGTTTTGTGATCCAAAAAAAAAAAAACTGAAACAAACAAAAAAAATTCATTGACTTTCAAAGAAAACTTAGTTGGAAAATTCGCTGTTGTACGGCAATGGGATAGCAAGGATACAGTAAATTGTACTTACATACACAAGCACACACATACACACACACAGCCACAGAAAAAACATACACACTTTGAATTATATTTACTTGAATTAAATAATAATAATGAGTATATATAACTTTGTACTTGAATAATATTTTATTTATATATATACATATATATATATAAAACTTAAGTCAATAAAATTCTAATAAATTATAATCACTTAAAATATGGAATCGTTTATTTGTCAATAGGAATTTAAAATTGAGCTGAGCCAATTTCCCAACTTAGCCCTTTTAAAATTCCCTACATTACCATGGTACATTTCCCTAATTGGTTCCAATTTGATACCTCTTACCGCAACAAGTTCTTTTATTGTAGTTGGTACTGCTTAGTTGTAATCGATATATTTCTGAACTTCATATCGATAGCTATTTCCAATAATGGGATAACTTCAAGTCGGTAACTTATAATTAGTTACAATTGTACGAAAATTTATTTTTATTAGCAGCATTATAGAAAAAATAAATAACAATGTTAGCAGTTGTATTATAGTTTGTGTTATTATCTATTATTTAAAAAGTGGCTATAAGACGTTGAAGCCGATGAGTAGCTTATACAGTACAGTGAAAAGTATTGTGATTAATTTATTGTGAATGTAATAATGCGATATTTTCTTTACATAATTTTATCTTATATTTAAAAGGTTTTTTCATTAATAGAAACTTAAATAAAAGGTTTTAAGCTGATAAGCTGGCGAAGTATCATCAATTATGTTAAGTTAACAGTAAACGACATAAGTTGAGTTTTACAGTGCCAATTGAGTGCGGTTCCCCATCTGCTTCATGCTTACCCTACAACACTTTGATTTAATATTTGTTGATTGTTAGCGGCGGTCGGACGTGTTTTTTTTTAAGTAAGACCAACTGGCACGTGTACAGCAAACGTGGTTGAGCTGACTTAACTCTAGGTTAAAATATATTCTTAAAGTAATCCTCAATCACAAACCAATAAAATGGTGACCAAGACTACGGATCAGATGAAAGCGCTAGCGCTTAAATTGTATGAAATCAATGCATTCAAATTTGGTGATTTCAAAATGAAGGTCGGCATCAATTCGCCCGTTTATTTCGATCTGCGCGTTATAGTGAGCTATCCCGATGTGATGGTAAGTGGCAGGGGGATGGGGGTACTCGATTTGACAACGGATTTACTCTCATGTTTAATGCAGCAAACTGTTTCCGATCTGCTGGTGTCTCACATCAAAGAGCTGGAGCTGAGCTCCAAGCACGTTTGCGGTGTACCCTACACCGCTTTGCCCCTGGCCACCATCGTCTCGGTGCAGCAGCATACGCCCATGCTGGTGCGTCGCAAGGAGGCGAAAGCGTACGGCACCAAGAAGCTCATCGAGGGCATCTATCAGGCCGGCGACACCTGTCTGATTGTCGAGGATGTCGTAACATCCGGCTCCAGCATTTTGGAAACTGTGCGTGATCTGCAGAGCGAGGGCATCGTGGTCACCGATGCCGTTGTTGTTGTGGATCGGGAACAGGGCGGCGTTGCTAACATAGCCAAGCATGGCGTACGCATGCATTCCCTGTTTACGCTCTCCTTTCTGCTCAACACACTGCACGAGGAGGGGCGCATCGAACGCTCCACGGTGGATGCGGTAGCCAAGTACATTGCGGCAGTGCAGATAAACAGCGATGGGTCGTTTATTGGGGGCGATAAGACCGTGGCTCGTAAGTGGAAGCGAGCTCCAGATATGAGTCCATCACATATACAACTATATATATATATATCTATATCTATATAAACGTGAGAGGCGCTCGTGCTAATTTAGCTTTTGATTACTTTGATATAACAACCAAAATCTGAAAGTCAGCTCTCCCTTTAACCAGCTGCTTCAATTAGGGCAGGTTCATATAAAAATTGTAGATGTATATGCACTAGATATATATGTATATATATCCATATACATATATAGTTATATTTTTGGCTGTTCCCCCATGTCATAAAGTCGCCAATTTTCCTTAATTTGGCTGGCCTTAACATGCTAATCATATCAGATGTGATATACGAACATGTATAAAAGTTATGATAGATTATTGTAACTAATTATATTAACGCTTCAAATTAGGAGTGATTGATAGGCGTTGACAGATCTATGCAATAGCTGAATTGATTTTCATGCGATATGTTACGGAACTCGAAACGCCAGAGGAATAGATGTTGTATAATATATATTCATGATTTAGCACTTGATTAATTTTAAGAAAAACTTTTTTTCAAGTTCAAGTTCGCGGTGATCGAGCCCCAACCATTTGTTTAGCCATGAACTTCTTTGATGGTAGATAAAGTTCTCTTTGAGCGATCAATAGCTATCATCCGTTGCCATAAAATCAATGAGTTTTCAGCTTCTTAAAGATTAAAGATTAAAACACAGACTGCAGGGTAGCTCACAGTCGAGCATCACACTGATAGCTAGATTAGTATTAATTGTTTTAAAAATAATTAAATGTCAGCCGAAGGCATAAATAGATTTGAAATAGTTGCTCGACCCGGACTGATTGATTTGAAATACCTGTAGTATATATATATATACTATATAAGAACTGCTGATAGCTAATCTCTATCTATATCTTTCGATTTCAGCCAATGAGTTTTCGCGCACTAAACTGACCTATGAGAGTCGCGCCAACTTGGCCAAGAGTCCGCTGGCCAAGCGTTTGTTCAATCTTATGGTCGCTAAGCAAACAAATCTGTGCGTGGCCGCCGATCTGACCAAGGCCGATGCCATTCTGGATGTGGCTGACAAGTGCGGGCCCTACATTTGTCTGCTGAAAACCCATGTGGACATTGTCGAAGACTTCAGTGAGAATTTTGTTGTCAATCTTCAAGAGTTGGCCAAGAGACACAACTTTTTGCTCTTGGAGGATCGTAAATTTGCGGACATTGGCAACACGGTGTCTCTGCAGTACGGCCAAGGCCTCTATAAGATAGCCAATTGGGCGGACCTTGTGACAGCGCATACACTGCCCGGACGCAGCATTGTCCAAGGACTGAAGGCGGCGCTCACGGGCGACAATGCGACCAAGGAGCGTGGCGTCTTCCTCTTGGCCGAAATGTCGGCCAGCGGAAATCTGATCGATGACAAGTACAAGGAGACCAGCAACAAAATTGCCACCGAGGGCGGCGATGTGGATTACGTGGCGGGTATTGTCTGCCAATCGGCCAGCTGCTTTGCTTTTCCTGGTCTTATACAGCTGACGCCAGGCGTTAAGATTAACGAGGGCGTCGATAAGCTGGGCCAACAGTACCAAACACCCGAGCATGTGGTGAAGGAGCGAGGCGCTGATATTGGTGTTGTGGGGCGTGGCATACTTGAAGCTGCGAGTGTGGAGAAGGCGGCAGTTACGTATCGCGATCGCCTCTGGGCAGCTTACCTGGAGCGGGTGGCCAAGTAGGACACCTGATTTAATCACAAAACATATCTAACTTACCTCGTTTCGATGTATTTAAAAAGTTTTCCATTTTTACCGGTATTCGGTTATAAGTTAAGCAGTTAAAAGAAAATAGAATTTTATGCATTTAAAAGGCAAATTGTTAGAATTTTCACAACAATCGTTTTAATATTAAGTTAAATGTTTGCTAAAAAAAACAAAAAATACAACAAATGATGAAAAATATTAATTGATGTACTATATTTAGTATGAAGCCAAACACTGCAGCACGTAGCTGTAATCGCCGAATATATCATCCTGTAAATGAAACGGAAAAAATGGGTTTTTCGTTTAAAAACTCTTAAAATTTGCAATTTGAACCTTTGGCTATTTTTATTTTTTGTTTTTGTTTTTTTTTTGTTAATAGCACAAGCACAAAATACTTCTAGAGATGTATTATATACAAATAAAACGTATACAAAATATAAAAATGGGTAAATAAAAGAATATTAATTAAATGTTTTCGCAATTTGCACGTTAGACGTTATTACAGAGGCTGCCTTTCGGAAATATAAATATAAAAAGAAAACATTTTTCAATGAGAATTACAAATGGAATTGATATTTCACAACACTAATAATTTCAGGTTTTTATATTTCTGTCTTCGAAAATGCATATTTTTGGCATTTCTATTGCACAGTTGTATAACTCCCTACAACTCTTATACTTGGGCACACCGCGCAGCTCTTCTACCAAGCGACGATCGTCACAAGCAAATATCCAATTTCAGTGTTCGCATCCTCCTGTGATTGTTTGTGTGTTGGGTAATTGCGTAAACACGTCGAAGAGAAAAGCGTAAAAAGAGCAAGAGCGAGAGCGTTAAACGCGTTATTTTGTATACATTTTAAGTGTTGTTTTTAGTTGCTTGGTGCTTAACAGAAGTAACCGCTGACCCCGTGTTAAGTATTATGTTAAGCGCAAAGAGCGCGCTGTTAGTAACATGGCAAGCAACAGAGCATGGAAAAATGCTCCTTCTGTTAACAGAAAACAAGAAGAAAAAGCGAGCAACGAATATTATCAAATGTTAACAGTACAAAGTGGCGTCTAAATTTATTTCATTTGAATTGATTTTCATTTTATTGTTGTCATTAAGAACATTTTTAACAATATTGTAACTTAAAACTTTTTGCAAAATGAGAGTCGAGACATATAGTATAAAAAAACGAAAACCATAAGCTACATATAGAGCCGGCCGTATATATATATATAGGTATATAAGTATATAAAGTTATATTTAAAATCGAGATAAAACTATGTGCAATGAATGTGCATAGGACTATGTATAATAATTAACATGTGATGCGACTGTAGGCCTCAATAAATGCACTGCGTTGCTTGTAAAAATTTGTGTTCCACTTTGCATTAGTCGATCATACTATAATATAATGTATATGCGTTTCAACTATTATATAGTCAAATTTTGTACAATATGTTTGTGCTTAAGGCATGGAACAGACACGACAGTGACAATATTTTTATATTTTTCATATGATTTTAATTATTATTTTTGTATTGTTGGTTGGCTCATTTGATTTCTGTTATATTTTTTAGAATCCAACAATAGCCAATAGGGCACGCTTATAATCGCCAGATGTATCGCCCTAAAAATATAGAATATGGCAAGTTTTAAAGTTTTATGCAGCACACAAATGAAGTAAGTAGTAAAAAAGCGAAACATGAGTGAGCAACAGATGAGTGGGAACAATTTGGAATAGAATGCTCTGTTAATTTATGGCTATGTAAATAACAGAGTGCTTTTCGCTAAAGCTCTTATTTGAAAAGCTAACTGTTAACTGCTTTTGGGAATGTAACTGTTATGGTAAACAATTTGAACTGGTTTCGCAGGGTGTATATATATATATATACAGTCACGTATTATGTGGCTACTGTCGAGATGATGTATAAGTATAGAGTTTTCAATCTACAGGTGCATGGTGCCTCGTGCCCAACACCACAAATGTTTTTATCATGCTAACACATATAGGTACATAAATAGTTAACGGGGTATTTACCTTGATCCAAGATTCCAGGCTCTTGCCGTACTTGTTTTGGAATGCTTCCTTGACATCTCCCAGATCGATCTCGGAGCGGCTGACAATGATACGTATCAGCGTCTTGTCCTTGGTGCCCAAACCGGCCATTGAGTCATGCAGACGCTCAGAGAAGTAATCAATCTTGGACTTGCAGCACTTGACTGAACAATTGAATATATAATATATCACATGAGTATATGATGAATCATTATCATAGATGCGGAGATGACTCACCGATGGCCAGGAAACCCTTTTGAACAGAGCCGCTGAACTCACGCTTGATGGCCGACTCGATGTCATTTCCGGTGAGATTCTCGTATTCGATTAAGATCTGACGCAGCTGCTGATACGGCCGGGTGATCAGAATCGAGTTAAAGGTGGACTCATCTGTGCCCCACTTGCCCTCGCCGGCATCGTACAACGCCTGGGCATCGGCAATGGCGGCCGCCGCATCAACACCCTGGTTCTCATCCCGATTGCCCTGCACCAACGAGACGCACAGGCGCTTGAAGTGTCCGCTGGTGTCACCCTTCAGATCTGACTCTAGGGACTTGCCGAAGCTCTGCTCGTAGAACTGAGCAATGGTCTTGATGCCATAGTTGGACAGGGTGCACAGTATCTCAATAATGGCCTCCTCATCGGTGCCCACGCCAGAGATGGCATCGTGCAGCTCCTGTGCGTAAAACTGTGGCAGCGGCGTCATCAGTGCCACAATCACATCCTCGAACTTGCCGCCCAACTCAGACTTCAGGTCCGAAATCAAGTCCTTGCCATAGGCAGTCTTAAAGGCCTCGGCGATCTCCAGACGCTGGACGATGCCGCGACGGGCGAGGATCTCAATGATGGTCTTCTCATCGGTGCCGAAGCCCTTCATGGCCTTGCGCAGAATGGCGGCATCCTCGATGGGATCGAAGGGATCCGCGGGGTAAACGGTGGGCGTGCACTGCAAACAGCGAATTTGTGAATGTCTCACATAAATAAAAGTTCTGGCTAATGCAATGAATACGTAATCAATGCACAAATATTCATGAATAATCGTGCATTGAAATGCGGCTACAGCACGTACTCCACGACCAATTGACTCAACAAAGTTTCCTTATATGTGTAATTCGAGGGTTACGCACTTGATGATTGTGCCGACGTATTCAGATTCAGAAACACTAAAAAAATATTCGACTCATTTGCAATTACTTTTGAGTCGAACTACTATATATATATATATATATATATATATATATATATATAAACTAGATTTCTATGATTCAATAGGGAATTAATGTTACTTTGTGGAGATTAGATTTCTTATTTGACTGTTTAATACTTCGTATATAGGACTACGCTTCATGTAGAGCACTTGAAACAAATCGATTAAAATGAAATATAGTATAATTATCAATAATGATCAATAATTGTGCCTAATTGTCAATCAAGTTCTAACAATCTTCAAAGCTGATGTTTTATTTATTGACACTCACCTTGAATGGATAGTACTCAGCGGAGCTCATGATTGCTTCTTTTTAGGTTTGTTTTTGTAGTTGTTGAAGATCTGTAAATGCAAAGCAGACAAGCAAAAACATAATTTATAATTATCTAATGATTAAAGTCGAGGCGGTCCGTGGAACACAATGACTGCCCTTTGGAAATTAGTTTGCAACAAGGTCGAGCTATACATAAAACGGCTATGGGAATATACAAAAACCTGCTGGCCGCATGACATCACCAAATATGAGGGGTAAGCATGCTACATGGTTGTGCCCATTACGCATACGCCGCACAGTATTTGTGGCGCCACAAGAAAAATCGACATGCTTTTGCTTTCCTAGTCAGGTATATTTTTATAGGGGTCAACGCACAGAGTTTGAGTGAAAGTTTTATTATGTAGAAATAGGATTGGGCATGGGTTAGTTGATAACTTTAAAACATGTGGGTGCAGCTAGCATTGCGTATGCGTAATAAAAAATTTTTTTTTTCATAGAAACAGAATCAATTGGGAGTACGGATGAGCTCATTCTGTTTACGCTATAAAAATGCGGGAAACATTCCAGATTCTATTTTATTTTTATCACAACAAACTACGATATTAAATTAAAGACTAGAAAATAGCAGAAGTCCATACGCTCAAATAATTGATATGGCTAATTACAGAAAAAGCTGTCTGCCCAAATGCCAAGCGTAGAAAGTCAACAAAGCCAAAAGAGAGAACTAACTAAATACAAAAAAAACATGACGTGGCGCTGTTCAAAAACGACAACTACGCCTCTGCACAGCTACAAAAAGAAAAGAAAGAAAAAAAGATGTTGTGCTTCCAAATGTTGGCGCTGGAACCGGTTCAAATTTAGTTTTACATGCAGACTGTCACACACACACACACAGGCAGACACACATGTCCTATAGAAACATTTGTTTGTCTGTTTCTCTTTTGGGCTATAAATTAGCATGCTATTGTGGAACACGCAACGAAAAAAAGTTTGGAAGAGCTGGAAAAGTTGTTTGGAATGCTCAATAACAACGTCGATGACATGTTCTAGTCATTTCCACAAATACGTTAGCAGTAGCAGAATTGAATTCTAATAGTGCACCTATAAATAACCGTAGATTCATATGATCTACAGCTCATTAAATTGAAGCTCAGCTCATGAATCATAATGTGCCTGAGCTGATTTTCAAGCGCGTCTAACTGTGACGTCAAACGTGGCTTGTTGGGCGGGTGAAGTGCTCAAACGAGCATAAGACTGGAACTGGATTTGCTGGAAAGTTGTTCGGTAACCGCAATGTTTAGCGAAGCCTTAACTTATTTTTGTAATAAAGTTTTGTTTTTTTTTATGTAGCAGTTAAAAGCTCGTGACCTGGTAGAAAATGTGTGAATAAATGGAGCTTATACAATTTATTTCCACTTGTGTTGTGAATGACTGTACCTTTGAAGTTATTATTATTATTTTTGCTTTTTAATTTGTTCTACTTTGATTTAAACCTTGATGACGCACCTTATAAATGCATGCAATTATATTAATCCAGTTTTTTTTATAGGTTTTACTGTAGTCAATGCAGACTCGCTTAAAGCAATTGAGTTGATTGCCACTAAAGATAGCAGACAAAAGATGGAGGCACAAAGTAGATAAATTCAATTATAATTCGCCAGTGAAACATCTATCAAGTGCATTCATACACACATATACATATATGTTATAAATGAAGGAAACTTTGCTTGGAAAAGTCACACGCGTCTGCGAATGAGCAGATATAAAGATAGCTAGAGAGCAAGAGAGAGAGCGCGTGTTAAGAGAGCGCCAAAGCTCTAAAGTTGTGTGCAGCTTCAGTTGAACATTTGATGATGTCATCTCTTTTTTTATCCAAATCAATGTACCAAATTTACATGCACACAAACATATAGGAATATACTGTAAAAGCATGTTGGCGTATGTATGTCTCATTGTATTATAGAAATGAACACAATTGCTTTATATGTGACATGTATACATAATTTTAAAACTTTTTATCTGCCGCGCCCAAAAATTATTATGATGTTGAAAACAATTTATTTATACACTTTGTTTGCACTTGCAATTACTTTTCACTTGAATTTCTTGTTCACTTCAACCTCAGCAGATATGAGCTTGTGACAGTTGTGTGTGTGAGTGTGTGAACATGCATATATATATATATTTATATATATGTATATATGTATGCAAATGACACAGTGAAAATAAACAAAATAGTAACTAGAGAGGAATTCTAAAAATTTACCAAGTGATATTCTCAAACGTACAAAGTAAGGTCCGTTAAACGTTGCGAACTCTTAGCGATGTGAAATAAATACTGAACTCGCTGCTCAGTCCTCAGCTGGTTTTATATGCGCTACAACAACCGGCGAATCGGATCTGAGAGCATTTGCGAAGAGCCAAACGGTTGCTAGTAGAGTGGAGGCGTTGGCAGGGCCGTAGACACTATGCAGAGAGCGGAACTGTTGCTTACGGTTTTCTTAGATTATCTCTTACGTTAAGATTTTCATATTCATGTAGTCGTTTCCCTTAATATAAGCAAATGAGGCAGGACACATTATATTTTACAATTTTAAATTAAATATGATTACTAGAATAATAATCAATCAGTTAATATGTGCTGTTGAGGAACTACATAGCTGAAGCCCTGGCAGCCCTCTGGCTATAAAAATTTAAGAGCGTAAACAAGAGAAGAGCACTTTGCTGACACGTAATTACGTCATGATATTGTTATAAAAAGTTTCTCTCAATCCCACATATATATAAATATATATATATTTGTTTGCAGATGTATGATTTTGTAAGTTTCGTTAGAAGCTTAAACGCTTTTATTATTTTAGATCTCAATTTGCGACTCATATATGTATGTATTTGAAAACTAAATAGAAACCATGGTAAATATATACATATTTACGTCTAACAGCAGTGCATGATTCATGCGACTGGAAGCTGACAGATGCTAATAAAGATAAGGCACAGATAATACTATGTTTAATAATCTGTTGTATGCTGAAAAGATGAAAAATATTTATAAGATATTGTGTTCTTGGTTGTTCAAATCCTTACCGCGCACTTTGAATAATATCGTTGCCCAACACTTAATTTGCGATGGGTGATGCAGTTCATTTGAGCAAAACCTTATCGATTTCTCAAGTTCGATTAGTCGGCCGGTTCATTAACAATAACTCTTTCGTGTTGTGCATTGCATTTAAATTAATTATTTAAAGCTTTAGACTTTTACAATTTAGGAGTTTGTAAATTAGATAGCTGTTGTGCAATCATTAAATATACTTTACATATGTAAGTAACGTTTAGAAAGGCTGCCATTTACGTTCCACAGAACCAGCCCCTCCCTGCACAATCATTATTTTTCAAAGAAAAAACCTGTCATTGTTTTTTATCTTTGGTGCCAACGTCGAATGCAGATAAGAAGTAGCCAGTATGTGGAAAGCAACTGCCGGCCATCAGATACAGGCAACAAGCGCTGCCGAAGACGATGACTGGGAAACGGATCCTGATTTCGTCAACGATGTCAGTGAACAAGAGCAGCGATGGGGCTCCAAGACAATTGATGGCAGCGGACGCGACGGGGGCGGCGCCATTGAGTGAGTCATTTATATTTAGGTCAATGCACCATCAAAGAATCATTCTGCTAACAATAAAAATTAAACTAAACAGCATGAACAAGCTGCGAGAGGAGACGGAAAAGTCGGATTTGAACAAGAAGAAACAATTGCTGAAGGATCAAAATGCTGGCTATGGATACGGTGGTAAATTTGGCGTTGAGAAAGATCGTATGGACAAGTCAGCAGTAGGTCATGATTATCAGGGCAAAGTAGATAAGCATGCATCGCAGGTGGACTATAGCGAAGGCTTCGGCGGCAAATACGGCGTGCAAACAAATCGCGTGGACAAATCTGCCGTAGGCTGGGATCATATCGAAAAGGTGGAAAAACACGAATCCCAAAAGGGTAAGGTATTTGAGATAAACTTCGGCATATCTTATCATAGGAATGCACCTTTTGCAGATTACTCCAAGGGATTTGGCGGAAAATTTGGCGTGCAGGAGGATCGCAAGGATAAGTCCGCATTGGGCTGGGATCATATCGAAAAGGTGGAGAAGCACGAATCGCAGAAGGGTAAGATAAAGTGAACATTTCTTAAAGCTTACTATAAGTGTTCAATTTTAGACTATTCCAAGGGCTTCGGTGGCAAATTCGGTGTACAGCAGGATCGCAAGGATAAGTCTGCAGTCGGTTGGGATCACATTGAGGCGCCACAAAAGCATGCCAGCCAAGTGGATCATAAAGTCAAGCCTATTATTGAGGGGGCCAAGCCGTCAAACTTGCGCGCAAAATTCGAGAACTTGGCCAAAAACTCTGAGGAGGAGTCACGTAAACGTGCTGAAGAGCAGAAGCGTTTGCGCGAAGCAAAAGATAAACGAGATCGTGAAGAAGCCGCAAAGCAAACGATTGTGGAGAACACGCCACTACCTTCTGCCGAGGAGGCACGCGCGCCACCTGTCAAGGGCAGCCGCACAGCTATACAAACGGGACGTTCAGGTGGTATCGGCAATGCTATCAGCGCATTCAATCAAATGCAGTCGCCGGTATCCGAGACACCACCGGCACGAAAAGAGCCCATTGTCATACCGAAGGAGCCAGCGCCTGTCGAGGCAGCAAAACCTGTCGTAGTTGAACAGCCTGCCGTGGTTGAACAGCCTGCTGCTCCGATAGCTGCTGTTGTTAAGGAGGTTAAGGCTGCAGAACCGAAAATTAGCGTACCGCCACCAGATGTGGTGCCCCAAATTGAGATTGAGACTGTTGCCACACCACCGTCAAGCGAGCCGCAATCGCCAGCTCACGTGGCAGCTGTGGAGAAGACGTCCGAACGCCAATCCCAGCCAGAGCCGCAGCCACAGCCAGAGCCAGAGCCAGAGCTACATCAGGAGCCACTCTATCAAAACCAGGCGGAACTCAAATCTGTATCCCCATTGCCAGCTGCTCAATCTCCAATACCAGCAGCAGCAGGAGCGAATGGTACATCGGAGGAAGCCATCTATGCCAACTCTGATAATTTGGCGGACTATTTGGAAGACACAGGCACTCATGCAATTGCATTATACGATTACCAGGCAGCTGATGATGATGAGATATCCTTTGATCCCGACGATGTGGTCACGCACATTGAAAAAATCGATGATGGCTGGTGGCGTGGCCTGTGCAAGAACCGGTATGGCCTCTTTCCAGCTAACTATGTGCAAGTTATTAATCAAAGCTCCTAATCAAGCAAATGCTTCCGATTAAAATTATTTTAAAGAACAAAATCAAATTATATAATATCTACTTAATACAGCGAAAAAATCATGTTGGGTCGTAATACTGATTTATAATTTACTACAATATAAAATCTAATGTTTCCATTTGCAACTCAGAGAGGTTGATTCATTATTAAATATTGTAATTTTTTCATTTCCGTTATATTTCGGTTTTCTGCAACGCTCTCTCATGACACATGCAATATATATTCCACTATATATATATTTATCATCGTTCATATTCGATTTAAAAAATTGTTTAACATGATTATATACATTCTTTTGTATTTTTGTGCGTATTTTTAAAAAAATATGTATAACCCGTAACTATTTATAGTCCTTTTATACTTAGCAAAAACTGTTTTTAAAAATTGTGCAACTTTTTATATAAATGTAACTGATGTGTTTTGGAATGTGTCTGAAATGTTTAAGTAAATGTGTCAAAAGTGTGCTCACTTGTATAAAGTTTATAAATGTTTTCATTAAGAATGTTAAAGACAGTCGAACAAAATAACGTCTGTTTTATTGATAAAGAAAAGCATAATAAAGTTTATTAGTAACTATAAATAAAACCATACTCTTATATAATCTTTTCAATGGTTACTTACTTAATTGGATATTTATAAATTTGTTTATATATTGATTTATTCAATACATTTATTCATATGATATGCGTGCTAAGTCCACAGTTCTACTAAGGCTATATTCTTATATAGACATAAGTATATATATATATATATATATATATATATTTCTGTTATTTAAATGTCGGCTTTAATCAGTTGTAAAGAGCATGAATCATGTATGGACAAAGAAGCATGTGACTGAATGAATTATATGGGATTCTTTTACATCATATCTAAATATTATATACATCGACGGCATATCTGTGACACAATATTTACAATTATATATGATTTAAGTGGAACTCTTGATTTACTAAATGCTTATTGTTGTTGATATGGATCTGATCGAAAGTTGTCAGTACAAAACAATTGGGAGCTGTTGCCGACTAGATGTTAATGGGGGATTATGATAACATGTGCGTGTAGCAAAAAACGTTCGTGTTATCAATATGAATTGTCTGTCAAAATGATTGCAGACAGTCTAGATATATGTATATACAAGCATTTAAGAATAGACTTGGAAAAGGCAGGCAACATGTATTGTTAAACCCGCTTAGTGTTCCAGCAAAAATTCCCTTACAGTTATGCCGCTGTCAGTAAACATATCCCAGTACTCACACAAATGGCATATGATCTTGTTGACCTTTCTGTAACGTAAATATAATATAAGTATATACATGTATTTAAGTTACAATTCTTTGTCCTTTGTAGATAAACGTTAAGCAAGCATAACGAATCGAAAGGGTATATAAGAAAATCCCCTATCAAAAACATCGGGCTTGCTCTCTCTCACAGACGCTATCAACTCGCCTCTTTAGCAAAATTACGCTCAATATACTATGTATGTTAATGTTATACATATGTATGTATATATATAAAGAGGCATCGGCTAACATTGGCAGTCAGTCACTCGACGTCTAACAACGACGACGGCGCGTACGACGGTCGACGCATAGCTGCTCACTTGGACAATAGACATCGATGTATCGATATATCGATAGCATATATCCCTATTGAGTTGGATTTGTTCTACGTGTGAACAGCTGATATTTTTGGTGTAAATAGCCTGACCGTAAGTGCGAATGAAAAAGAAAGCAGCTGGGTGCGTTAAAGAGCAAGTAATCACAATGTTGTTCAATATAAATTAAAAGAAAACAAAGAAATAATATACGAGAAATATAATAAAAGCAAACAATTAAACGCGATGTGTATGTTGCGCGGATCATTGATTGGATATAATTCTCGCAAAGTTAACAATTGAAGAGTGGCAGACGCTGCTCAAACTCTGACGCTGGCAACAGCAAACGGGCAACGTCACCGAACTTGTAATTGGGTTCAACACAAAGAGAATTACATACATTCGTCAGTGTATTGCTAAGTATTAAACTGTTATTTGGTTCAGATAGCGTTTAAGTGCTAAATGAACTACAGCATTTACAACTAAAATCAGTCTGAAACGACGATGCGTAGTTGTTAATATTTTAATTTTACTGCCGCCTACCAATCATCCAGCTGTCGCACGTATGTCTCGTTTAAGTAAATAGTTTCTTAATTACACTTTTGCACATTGTGTTTGAGTTAATTTAAAAATATTCAGTCTCCAGCTTTGTATTCTTCTTGTGTGTGTCCATTTTTTTTTGTTACTTTTTCACCATGTGATTGTGGGGCCTGTATGTGAATGTGTTGATAACTCTTCGAAGAGTAAAAAAAAACGCATTCACCGGCTAACCAGTATTTGGAGAGAAAGAGATGCTACACTGGAAGAGCGTAGAAGTTCTAATTGGGGAGAGTTCAAAATACCTTTGCGAAAGCTTTGTTTTTGTTCACAGAAAGTAAGCCTTTTCAAGTTGACATATCCAAGATGTTTGCTGTTATGGAATGTCAGCGAGGGTATTTAAAGTTCGTTAACTTGCTGACAACGCATTCAGACCCTGCTGTGACTGACTAGCAGCTAGCGGGCCATTGGCTGTTTGGAACTGTTTAATAATTTATTATGTTGATAAGCATTGCCCTAATCTGGAATATCATACCAAAACAATAGTACAAATTCCCAAGTGTATGAAATTAACGGAATTATTACGGAGTACGAATGAATATGCGAATGAAAAAAATGATTTACTTCAGCTTCTTTACTGTTATTGTCCTCAGGTGCAGGAAATTGTCAATTAATTTGATTAGTGCTAAATCATATTCACTTTTTTTTAATTAATTACGATATTGTTTGTGCAGGTGCTAAATATGAGAACTACTAAAATGTGTAGTTCTATGTTAGTTCCATTTTTGCTATATTTAAAGATCATGACTTGCTAAAAATATGCATTGATATTTATATATATGCTCATATATAAAAATTTTAGCTATGGAATATAAGAGAAATTTTAATTTTTGCTTAAAACACAACGAAAAGTTAACCAAAACGCATATGAAATGTACAAATATAGAAAACATTATATTATGTTACAGTAAACAAGCGAAATAATATAATATATAAGGAATATGAACCATAAATAGGTATACCATTGAAAAAAAAGAATATAAGAATGTTTTATAAATTAATCAAAATTTAATCAGTTATCTAGGTTTTAAATAGTTTTTGCGTTCAAATAAGTAATGAATATAAGTCATAAATAGTTTATAGCTGGTTGGCCGATTTACAAGTGGTTGTTATGAATAGCTTTAAGTTTGTTGAAACACTTATCGCTTTTTATGATAGCTTTTAACATACTCTAAGCAGCCTGAGTTAAAGCCGATATGAATATGAATGTGAGTTAAGATATGTGCCAACTGTATAAACAACTTTGTACGCAGGTAGAGAGAACATATGTTTTCTATAGAACTTAACGTTTGGAATTGTCACAATTTACCATAAAATGGAAATCTTCTACTCAATTGAGTGAACAGCAGAGGCCTTTAAATGGCGCCAAACATAATAAGACAATTCAACGAACGATTCAATGAAGCAATGTGGAAAGCAGCAACAGCAGCAGCGCAACGTTTTGTCAAGGTGAACCAGACAAAGCCGCGTGTTTTCAACCAGCTCCATACATGCCCAAGACACCTACATATTGATATACATTTATATACACATACATTCATACCTGATCAAGATGTGCTGAGCTCTGGCATAAAATGCTTGTACGCATGCTTTAAAGCCGATAAAACCTATGCAAAATTCCTAAGAGTGGAGAAAAAAACAAAAACAATACTTTAAATGCATATAACATTTTATTTGTTTTAGCAGGTTATTCACCTGTGCAATTTGTGCAGCAGGTAACTATAATCGTGCTCGTATGTTTTGCCCATATTATTGTTGATATTCAGATTTTTCGTATTATTGGCAGACACAGCTGAAAAAATGGAGAGAAGACACGAAAACAGAATTTTTCAAGTTCTGTTATTTATTTATTGTTTTCTATGTATACAATTTCTTCATTGCCTATAACAATAAAATACAATTCTCAAATTCATCTACTGATTGTGATTGAGTGCTAACTTAAAATTCTTATCAATCAAAATATACAAATTTCAATAATAATCTAATTGTGGCAAAACAGATGCAAAATACTTTTAGTTTCCTTATGTACAGTGATGCTTCGCTAATGTGAAAGGTCATTATATATACATCTAGTTATGCAATATAGATGTTAATGTTAATGTTGATATGCTTCAACTATCATCAATTATTTGTAACTAATTTTAACATGTTTATCAAGCTGCTCAGCAAATGCTGATTCAAGAAATAACTATGTATTATAAAACACACAAGAATATTATAGTATGCAATCTGTGGCTAGATTGTAGGCATAATATTAAGTCTTATCAATCTCAGTTAGTTGAGCTGTGTTGTCGGCGTTCCGGGTAATTTTTCTTTTTTTTTTATATATATTGTACTGTTATGTGTGTGTGTGTGTTTTTTATGTATATCGGCCCGTTAGATATTTTATACCCCGTAGACAACGAGGTTTCATAAATAATAAATATATTGTAGATAGTTATATGTATTTAGCATAAGCATTTCCATGTTCTAATCGATAACTGTGAGCATCGATATGTATCGATATATAAAGTAATCGATTCCGAGTACACTAAACACAAAGTATTTGTGTGTTTTCCTCTAGATTAGTGGGTATTGCCCAGTCGACATTGTTTAATAGCTCAGCCCTCTTTTTATTTGGTTATTACTTTTTTCTGTCATCTCATTCTATTTGTGCCGCATATGTTTCTAATGCAGATAATAACAAAATTATGGCTTTCCGTAATTGTGTATTTTTTGTTGATCAGATTTTGATAATATAAATGACGAAGTACAAAGAGAAATTGCACAATAAAATTTGTATGTGTGAATTATATGGAAATGCCAGCAAATCAATGATAATTTCAGCTAACTTTTTCTTGCCTTTGCTAAACAAATTTAAATGCATATATTATCTATTTGAGTATATGTTCACATTG